CTTGGTGGACGGAGGTGGCCCTGGGCCACGTGGCTCTGCGCAATCAGAAGAGAAGCTGCTCATGTAAACACATGAACACTCAGTGACACTGGACGTGAGCCAGCCACCAGGAATGGAGGGCGGAGGCCAAGAGGGAGCCAGGAGGAACCCGGCACCCAGTCATGGGGCCGACAGACGAGCAAACATCCCGAGGGGGACACGAGCTGAGAAAGGGCCCCTGGCTTTCAGAGGGAGTCCGGGGTGACAGCAGGAGCCCGCTGGGGGTGTGGGGGAGTGAAGGTACTCGAAGGCCGGTTGTAGCCGCCCCAGGGGCCACTGGAGAGAGATGGGGCCAGTGGAGGTGTCGGGACTCACAGGCAGTGACTGTCACCCAGGCTGGCCACGGCTGACCCCACCCACATCTTCCCGGCACTCAGTGAGGCCTGGGGCAGCACGCTGACCACGCTTTGGGCTGTCCTGCTGGCCAGCGGGTGCCTTCTGGGCCTGCCCCCATGGCTCTGGGAGTGAGGGTGAGGGTTGGTGTTCAGTTAGGCAGCCTCCTGCCCTGTTCCCTGTGTTCCGTGGGCCCTGCCACCGGCCCCTGTGGCCACTTCGCACAGAGGCACTTCCATCACCTGTCGCCAGAGCTCAGGCACCACCAATGCGGGACCTCAGTGGCCCTCCTGAGCCTCAGAGCCTGGAGCTGTCCAGGTCCCTGGGATGTGCAGCCCAGCACATAGGTGCCTACCTGCACGAGGCCACTGGGTGTGTGTCAAAGCAGCATGACTGAGCCCACCTGATCTGCAGTTACCTGGCGGTGCCCACAATTCACCAGCGTTACCTTCCCAGGCCTCTGGGCCAGGCCCTGCCCACGCACACACCTGTCTGCCTGACACCTTGGTGCTACCCGGAGACCAGGCCCTGCGCCCAATGCCTTCCCTGTCAGCACCTTGGCTCATGGAGGGCCGAGTCCCCCTGGGGGGCGTGTGCTGACAAGCTAGGGACTCTTTTTGTGGGTTACTGACCACGCCCTGGGGAATGTGTGAACATCTGCTTAGTAAACCCAGCCAGCTGACGGCACCTTCCTTGATCATAGGGTCCCTGAGGGGGATTATCAGTTTGCCTTGGGTGAGAGGGTGGGTGCCCTGCACCAGCCCAGCGTGGTGCAAAGAGGAACCGACCCCCAGCTGCCTGGTGAGGGACTCTGTCCCTGCAGTCACTGGTGTCCAGTGCCCAGCCTGGCTCTGAAGACTAAGCTGAACGAACGGCCAGCTGCCGGGGCAGGGCCATTCCACACCTCCCTCCGGCCTCCCTCCCTCCCTCTGCTCCCTGGCACTGCCCAGCCCACCTGCCCAGGCAGCTGGGGCCGCGCTGGACCCTGTCCCCTCCCTGTGGTTTGCTCTTCTCAGCTCCCACTGGTAGCCCTGCAGCCTGCTTTCCCACTGGCCTCAACTGTGGCCCCGCCTGCCCCGGGGCCTGCTTTAGGACGAGGCAGAGGCGGGCACACCCAGTAACAGCTGCTCCCCGCCAGCCAGGGCGCCCACCTCAGACCGTAGAGAGGAGGGGGTGCGGGGCCTGACCCTCCCCACCCACAGGCATACAGAGCGAGGCTGCACCAGGTCCTGCAGGCTCTGCACCAGAAGCTGGCAGCCCCGGGCCTGGGGCCAGAAAGCCTCCTGGGTGCGGACCGGCCCATCTCCTGCAGGACCCAGCCACCGGCCTCCATCCGCAGGGAGCGCCTCGGCGTCTGCAGCGACCCCTACAGGCTGGCCCAGCAGCTGACCCTTGTGGAGCTGGTGAGGAAGCCTGTGCCACCTCGGCCTAGACCCAGAGCGGGACCGACTGAGAGCCACCGGCCACCCCTTGCCCCCTCTCTGGCCCAGGCCCTGTCTCAGCATAACCCAAGCCCTGAGCCCATCAGGGCAGGGCCAGCCAGGCCTGTCCAGAGGTCCCTGGCTCTGGGGCAGTTCTCAGCAACCCAGGGTGGGAACAGAGGGCTGAGGCTCCAGCCCTGCCCAGCTCTGACCCGTAGCTGGCAGGCAAGTCTGGGCCTGGGACAGAACTGGGTTCAAACCCTGGGTCTGACCCCACCTGCTGTGTGATCCTCGCACAACCAGTGCCTTCTCCACCCGCCTCAGCCTCCCACCCAGAACGCACTGCACCCGCCCCCAGCGTTCCAGAGGAGCCCAGGCCCCTGCGGGGGAGGGGATGCCTCAGCCAAGCCTGCAGCTGCGGGGTCCTGTCAGAGGCAGCGGCCAAGGCCCCCCCAGGGAGAGGGGCGGTGGGAGATTTGTCCTTGCTGTTTCCCAGGCGCTGTGCTCAATGCTTGCATGCACTCTCATCTCCTCACCTGCCAGGCGGGTTCTATTATTATTCCCTATTCACAAACCAGGCGGCTGTGATGTGCCAGACGTCACACAGCAGGAGGGCCAGAGCCAGGATCCAATTCTGACCCAAACTCTCAACCACCAGGCCTCCCCTGGAGGGAGCAGGTCCCCAAGTCCCCGATTCCAGCCTGGTTTCCGGGGTGTCACATCCCACAGGCACTCCCAGGGGCCTTTGCCCCGGGCCCCATGATCAGAGGCAGCCCTGGGCCTGGGGAAGGAGGTCCGCTGGGCTCCGTGACCACCCAGAACGGGGTTGCAGAGCCCGCGTGAGAAGGGCAGGTGCCCAGAGATCCTCCTGGGATCGGCTGGAGGCAGGGAGACTGAGGGAGCGCCATGCCAGGCCTCCAGCGGGCACCCCTTCCCCAGACCTTTCTCAGACTCCTCTTCCTCCCGGTGCAGGCTCGGCTGCGACACATCGGGCCCGAGGAGTTTGTCCAGGCTTTTGTGAACAAGGACCCTCTGGCCAGCACCAAGGTAGAAGGCCCTGGGACGCGCTGTCCCTGCAGTGACCCACTGTCCTCTGTGGGGGGAGGGCGATCCCCCTAACATCTGCCGGGCCAGCTTCCCAGCGACCTGGGACAGGCGACCCCAACCGGGTGCGTTTCGGTGGACGAGGGGTTCCCTCCAGCGGCCACTCTGAGAAGTGCAGGCTGGTGCGCGCTGCCCAGGGAAGCTTCCCTCCGAGGGTGGGGTGGCCCTTGGGCCAAGCGGACAGGACGAGGTCCTCACACAGATTTCAGAGCTGCCTCTCCCCTTTCAGAGCCCAACCAGCAGGGGGCCTAGTGCTTACCAACGGGGTCAAATGAAATCCGAACCGGAGACAGTGTGCCTTCTGCCCAGCACCTAATAAATGAAGTGCAAATTCAATAGAAGTGCAAATTAAATACGCGATTGCATTCCCCGATCAGATTAGCAAGGTGAACACTGCCTGTGTAGGGAGGGAACTCTCACCCGCGGCTGCTGGGGAAATCGGCGCAGCCTCTTTGGAGGGCGGTGTGGCCATAGCATCAGCACTTGAAATGCACACCCTGGACCCCAGCTTTCCACACCTGATAATTTACCCACCAGCTATGCTAGTACACACCCATGTGCATATAGATGTGCACACGAAGATTTGAGATAAACCGTGTTTATTATGTCCACAGGCTGGAAGCAAACTACCTTATCACCCATAGAAACTGGATTTACAATGTTAGTGCATCCATTCATTCTATGTATGTCATGCAGCTGTTAAAGAGAATAAAAGCGGCTGGCGGTATGGAGTGACCCCAAGATGCATTGGCGAGAGAGGGGAGTAGAGTGAACAGCAGTGACAAAGGGTGTGCGGCCGTTTGTAACAACAGCGAAAGGGAGGGTGCGTGATACGTAGCCACTTGCACAAGCTGTGGAGACGATCATTGTGGAGACATCTCTAAGAAGACTGTCACTGTGGTCATTGTGTTCTGTTGGAAATTTGTCTTTTTCTTAAGGATTTTTATGAGTTTTTGCGTTAGATAATTATCCTTTGTCAGCTAGATGTGCTGCAAATGTTCCTCTCCTGGTGTCAGCCACAGTGATTAGGAAACCCAGCAGGGGTGGGAAGCAGACGTGGCCACTCTTCGCTGGCTTTTTGTTCCTCAAGCATTATTTGGCCATTTTCAAGCATTTTTTTTTATTGTGAAGTACTCACGATCACACGTGACATTTATTTACCCACTCTATTGTAGGTGAACATTTGTGTGGTTTCTGGCCTCCTGCCATGATAGATATTGCTGCTGGGAACATTCTCACACGTTCCTGGTACACAGGGCTGCACATTTTCCTAGGCCATCAGTTCGCAAATGTTTTGGTCTCAGGACAGCTTTCCACTTTAACAAATTATGGAGGACTCCAAAGAACTTTTGGTTATGTTGATTTTTCTGTACTGATATTTATCATTAAAATGGCCATCATATTAGCTATTAAAACTGATAACTTTTTAACTTATTTATTTATTCATAGCAACCCACTATACACATAGTTACCATATTTTATGAAACATAACTATATTTTCCAAAATAAAAAACGAGTGACGTTGTTTTACAGCATTTTTACAAATCTCTTTAATGACTGATTTAGAAAACAGCTGAATTCTCTTATCTGGTTCTGTATTCAATCTTTTGACATTATTGGTGGAAAATCTAACCTCGAAAAGTATGCAGTTGGAAAAGGGAGGGGTATTTTACAGCCATCCTATATAATAAAAGGCTCATATACAAATTGCCCCCTCGGGAGTTTGACCAGTTCAACTGCTCTCTAATGATGTGCACTGACCACCAGGGGGTGGCACGGAACAAAGCAAGGCCCTGGCTGGCAGCTGGAAGGCCCCAATTGGCCCTCATCGCCAGCCAGGCCTAGGGACCCTACCCGTGCATGAACTTTGTGCACCAGGCCTCTAGTTTTAGATCATTGGGAATGTTCTTTGATGCTACACTGCAACTCGGCAAGTGGTAGCTTTTAAAGATTAGTTGCAATGTGCAATATGAAAATACATCAGTGGACTTTCTGAGCTCTATTACATTAAATCCATTGGGCCATCTTGCATCTTGAGTAGCTCCCTTTTGCCCAGGCATGATTTTTGTAACATTATACCTTGGTCATTTGGAAAATATGGCTCCACTGAATCAAGCCGATCTTCCAAACGTTGGCACATTTTATTATACAAGATTTTAAAATCACATTCACTAATAACACTTACTGGTCTCATCTATAATAATAAAAGCGTAATATGTTAATTAGACCAGACAACCTTCCCGACAAAGCTGGGGTTGCAAGGGAAGCCCAGGTCCCAGGTGCCTGCTGGTGGCTGGAGGGAAGCCCGGGTCCCGGTAGCCGGGGGAAGGAAGGCCTACTCTTGCACAAATTTCGTGTATCGGGCCTCTAGTTAAAAATAAAGAAGTCCTTATGCATGGGAAGCTGTCGAGCCCCCAGAGGTGGGGCACATGTTTTACAAATTCCCAATTTCCTCTTGAAAACTTGAACTTTATCATTGGCCACAAATACTATCAATTGTTCTCGGAAGGGACAGGCTCAATTCATTCATTCTCAAGACAATCTCAGCCAAATACTGACGTCTGAATAACCATATTGGGTCAGTCCCGCTTTCAAGTAAACACTGTCCCCTGAGAAAGGTGTCGGCTCTCAGGTCAGTCACGCAGGGTCAAAATTTAATAAAATGGAAAAAAGTTTGTCTCCTCGAGGACGTTCTTAAGTCACACTGGCTGCTTTTCTTTCCCTGTGTGAGTAGTGGGGAAGAACACTATGACCGCTCCATCCGGGCTGGGTGGCAGCGATTTTCCCATCATTCTCTGACGCAGCACTGGTGTCTACGTGAGGAGACAGTAACATTGTGTAAATAGGAAAATGGTTTTGCCCCTGTGAACCCACAGCACTCTGGGGACTGTTGCCCTAGGACAGTGATGGCGAACCTATGGCATGTGTGTCAGAGGTGACACGCGAACTCATTTTTTTTGGTTGATTTTTCTTTGTTAAATGGCATTTAAATATATAAAATAAATATCAAAAATATAAGTCTTTGTTTTACTATGGTTGCAAATATCAAAAAATTTCTATATGTGACACGGCACCAGAGTTAAGTTAGGGTTTTTCAAAATGCTGACACGCTGAGCTCGAAAGGTTCGCCATCACTGGCCTAGGATATACCTAGGAGAGAAGTACTGCCTCCCTCACAGGTGGGCACGTGGCCAGCCTTTCAGGGTGGTGCCAGGTGAGGCTGTACCCATTCACCCTGCCAGCAGGGAGCTATTCTTGCTCTGCATCCTCACTGATTCTTGAAATTGTCAGATTTCTTAATTTTTGTCAAACTGTTAAATGGACCATCTTTTCGTGGGTTTTGGACATTCTTGTTTTCTCTCCTGTGAAATGCTTATCCCTAACTTTCATCCAGTTTTCTATCGGGGATTTGTCTTTTTCTTAAGGATTTTTACGAGTTTTTGGGTTAGATAAGTATCCTTTGTCAACTCCATGTTGACAAATTTTCCTCTCCTAGTTAGTGGCCTTGTGTTCATTTTCATTATTATGTCTTCCGATCAGTGTGTGTTCTTAACTGAAACCTAGGGAAATGTACTAAACTCTTCCTTTATGGTTTCTGGAGAGTTTCTTCAGATACATTCCCGGAAGTGGAATTGCTGGGTCATAAGGCAGCTCCATTTTTAATATTTTGAGGATCCTCCATTCTGTTTCCCAATCTGCAGTCCAACAGCACTCCACATCCTTGTCAACACTTGTTGTTTGTTGTTTTGTTGATGGTAGCCATCCTGACAGTGTGAGGTGATATCTCACTGTGGTTTTAATGTGCATTTCTCTGATGATCAGTGATGTTGAGCCTCTTTTCATATGTCTAATGGCCATCGGTATGTCCTCTTCTTTACTGTTTTGTAATTTATATTTTTCCAGGAATTTGACCGTTCCTCCCAAGTTTTCACTTTATAGACAGTTATTCAGAATCTTCTCTATCTTTTTAATTTTTTTATCCGATTTTTTTTTTTTGCCTTCATATTTTGAAGCTGTGTTGTTAGGTGCAGACAAGTTTAGACTTGCGACATATTCTCGATAACTTGAACCTTTTATCATTATACAACTACCCTTTAATCTCTTCTAATGCTTTTCGCCTTGGAGTTTGTTTTATCTAATATTAACACATCACTGTGGTGTTTATCATATCTGTTTTTCTGTATTTTTACTTATCTCCTTAGGTTTGGGGTGTGTCTCTTGAAACTAGCATGGACCTGGGTTCTGCATTGTAGTGATTGTGATTACTGGCGTGTGGGGGTCGTGCTTACTGTCTGCTCGCCTGCCTTTGGTGGCTCCCGTACCTTTCCTGTCCCTGTTTTTCTCCTTTCTTTGCTTTCTTGGATCGGTCCCCCATTCTCCCCTCCCCCTATTTACTGAAAGTCACCTCTCAATTTTAACATCTATATTTAAGTGTAATTTTTAAAATTGTGGTGATTTATACAGTGGAATGTTCTATATCAATTGAAAACATTCCAAAGGATAGTGTATGGTACATGAAAGGTTCACGTGGGAAAATATGGAAATATATATAGTTACATAGCAAAAGGAAGATACAGTCGATTTTCATTATTCATGGTAGTTATGTCCTACAAACTTGTCGGGAACTCTGCATCAGCGAACACCCATTGCTCCTAAGGGAAACGCAGGGTTAGGTTCCTTGCGAGCCTCTCATCCCAACATTTTCATCAACCAATCCACAAAGAGCCTTATTTTATGTGCGTTTCTGTTTAAAGACATCTTCTTTAATAACTATTGTTCATTCAATGACATTGAGCTCATTGCCAGCAGCACTATGGCTCATGCCTGAAAGAAAGCGCATCTCCCGCCTACGTTCCTGCTTAGGGAGACAAGACAGCCCCGCAGCACTGCTCTGGGCACAGGAAGCGTGAAATCACCGTGACAACCCATAGACAGCAGGAAGGACACGTGTCAGCACGGGGCTGAAGCAAGAAGGCCAGGCATCATTTCGCTTAACCCCAGCATGTGTTGGGTGACTCCAATATTTTGCCACTCTGCACACGTCCATGAGTGAGAGGGAAAGTGAGGCGCTGGGGGTTACAAATGAATTTTTAGGGAGTAGGTAGAGTCACAAATACAGAATCTGTGAATAATGAGGATCGACGATTACATATCATATTGATATATATCATGTTACATTACATCTCTACGTGCATTGGAACAAGACGAGAAGATGAACATCAGATCATTGGTGTTTGTGGATGGTTTTGAGGTTCCGACATTTTCCAAATTGCCTATCATGATCCTGAACTGACTTCATGTTCCGAAAATCATTGACACAAAGACTGAGTGCCGTCCTTTCACCTCTCCTAGCCCTGTTTCGGTGGTAAGACCAGGAACCTGGAGGCTTACGTGAAATGGTTCAACAGGTTGTGCTACCTCGTGGCCACTGAGGTCTGCATGGTGCGTAGAACCCGGGACGGAGCAGGCGTGACAGAGGCGCGCAGGCGGGAGGAGCTGGCCTGGGGGGAGCCAGAAGGGCTTCTTGAGCCATCTGTCCCCAAGCCCGGCCAGGCTGGGCACCCTCCGGACACCAGCTGCCACCGGGCTTGCCTGGAGTGCCATTTCCCCTCTGGGCAGAGCCAGCACGGACCCTCCCGCCTCTCGCAGAGGGTGCCAGGGGCGGCCTGCCTCCCCGGTGCCTGCCTGCTGGGCCGCGGGCCGGCCACGCGTGTGTTTGGCTCCCTCAGATTTCGAGGTAGAAATGGCCCAGCCTTTAAGAGCGAGGAGACTGCACGCTCCAAGTCCAGTCTCTGGCTTCTCCGGGGAAGCAGGCAGACCTGGCCGGTCTAAACCGACATGCATGTCAGCAAGAACCGTCCATCAGCCAGGCGGCTCTTCCTCACTGCAGAGGCCCCCCTCTGGCCACCCTGCATCAGGGGAGGCCGGCCACTCATCACCGGGAAGGACTGCGGGCAGCACGTGTGCCCGGGTGGGCTTTCCAGCACCAGATGCTGCGACAGAGCTCGGGGTGCAAGGGGCTGACGGGGGCGAATGCCTGTGGCAGGCGAAGAGGACGAGGCCTGGCCAGAAGGAAACGATGTCCCGTGACACCTCTGCAGTGGGAGTGTCCTGTCCCAGGGCCCCCCTCGCTGGGCTGCCAGCACAGTCACCTGCTCCCTGAGGGACAGGGCAGGCCCGGAGGCAGGGCTGTCTGAGGGGTTCGGGCGGCCCGTCTCTGCAGACACAGCGCACTGCTGGGGGCAGCAGGCCCAGGCCAGTGTTATCTGCGGGAAGAGCACAGGCGGGGCCTGGAGCGTCCCTGGCAGCGGGCGTCGGGTTTACCTGAGTGGCGTCGGCGTGTGGTCCGGGGTCGGGTGTGGTCCTGGCTGGGGAGAGCCCGCCCAATGCTGGGAGGAAGCAGGAGCGAGTGTGCTTTCTGCTTCTGGAGGGTGTGGCGCTGGCCTGGGAAAAGGGCCTCCCTCTCTGGAAGTGGCCCCCCTGAGCCCTCGCTGGCAGTGGCCCCCCTGAGCCCTCGCTGGCAGTGGTCTGCGAGGCCGCAGATGGCCCAGATCACACATCCCAGCCCGCAGGAGGGACTGGCCGGTGGGCAGGGTGGGTGGTCACGGTAGGACGGGGACCCATCATTGCTGAGGCTCGGGTGCTGTCCCCAGCTGTCCAAGAAGAAGCAGGGGGCCCAGGTGATCGAGTTCTTCATCGACGTGGCCCGCGAGTGCTTCAACATTGGCAACTTCAACTCCCTCATGGCCATCGTCTGTGAGTAGCTGGCCTGAGCCCAGCACCCGGGCAGGCGGGCGTGGGCACCCGGGCAGGCAGGCGTGGGCACCCGGGCAGGCGGGCGTGGGCACCCGGCAGGCGGGCGTGGGAACCCGGCAGGCGGGCATGGGCACCCGGGCAGGTGGGCTTCGAGCCAGGGATCTCCTGTGAGCAGAGAGTGAGTGCCCGCTGGGCCCGCATCCCCACCCAGAGGTCTGGGAAGGGTGCCAACTTTGAGGTGGGCTCAGCCTCCTCGGGGTGCTTGGCGAGGGTGTGGCAGTCTGTCCCCGGGTCCAGGGAGAGCAGGGCCCAAAGCTGGCCCTGGCGCTGTGTGGGCCGGTGTGCGGAGGACTGGGATGGGCCTGCACATGCAGAAGCCAGGTCGCCCCAACACACCTACTGCTGCCTGGCGGCCGAGCTGCTGCAGACCTCAGCCCGGGTCAGGCTGCAGCCGCAGAGGCTGGGCAGGGCCACACAGAAGCCCTCCGCCCGGGCAGTGATGGGACTGCAGCCGGGGCAGCCTCCCAGCTCGGCCTCCCTCTGCAGCTGGCATGAACATGAGCCCCGTGTCCAGGCTGAGGAAGACCTGGGCCAAAGTGAAGACAGCCAAGCTTTTCATCCTGGAGGTGAGCATGGTGTTGGCGGCCGGGGACGCCGGCCTTCCCCAGGGGCAGTGCCCAGCTGCGTCCCTGTCTCCTTCCAGCATCAGATGGATCCAACGGGAATTTCTGCAACTACAGGACAGCCCTGCGAGGGGCCGCCCACTGCTCCCTGACCGCCCACAGTAGCCAGGAGAAGGTAGGTCAGAGGCTTGGCTGGTCTTCAAGGCTCCTGCCTGCGCTAGACACCTTGGTCCAGGTGGGCTGCATCAGAGAACCTGGACGCTCACCCCCAGGTCACCTGGTCCACCCCCCGCACTTCTATGGCTGTGTGACAGACATGCTGCCCGTCTCCAGGTCTCTAGTACGGGGAACTCGCCACCTTCCCAAACAGATCAGCCCACTCCACGGGCCTCAGTTTCCCTGTCTGCCCTGCCCAGCTGAGCCATCCATGCTCTGTGCTGTGCAGAGCGGTCAGCGCCCAACCCCAGGCAGCTCCGACTGACCAGAAGTGCTTCCTCATGGGGCTGCAGTCACGCCTCTGGGGTCGTCCTCTCTGGAGGGCTGCACAGAGTGATGCTGTTCCCTCTTCTGCCCGCCCGTCCTTCAGCGCCCCAGGCCCCTCCCGCTCTCCTCTGCGTCAGCAGCCCGGCCTGCGCTGCCCTAGGCTGCTCTCCGGTCCCCTCCCCACGTGGGTCCCTTTGATCCCTGAACAGCTCCGTTTGAAACGGGAGTCCCTTCTGTTTCAGATCAAAGTGCGGTGCCAAGTGCATAGGGCCTGACACCCCTTGTTCTAAACTCAATACCTTCGTGGACGTGGCCTCAACTCGCACTGACGTTTCTGGCGATGACGGACCAGAGCTGCTCGCTCACTAGCGCTGCCTTTTCACAGGCCCTGTTCCTGTGCGTTAGCATTCGGGGCCTCACTGACCCTGCGCCCTTCCCTTTCTCCACATTCTCCCCGGGGCCTCTGCTGCGAGAGGCCAGGCACAGGCCAGGCGCCGCAGGGCCCCTCCGGGCCTAGAGCTTGTCGCCAGCCAGTGACCAGCACAGCTCACAGAAAACACCACGCCTGCCTGAGCCCTCAGTCTTGCTCTGTGGCGGGGAATTATTGATGGAAGAGATCCCGGCACGTTTGTGGAGCTCTGTTTTCAAGGGGCTGTTCTTGGAAATGGCAGTCACTCTGGAGTTGTAGGGGGTGGATTACAAGTGGTCGGATTTGGGAGAGCCGGCCGAGAACCCCCCACACTTCTTAACCAGCTGGCCCTTTCC